CAGTAAAATTCACTTCCTGTCGCGAGACTTCCTGTCCTCAAAATCAGAAGTTATCATTACTAGATCTCGTTAACGGTAAGAGATTAAGACACCAAACTACTAGGGGTGGTAGACCTTGATGAGTAGACAAATCCTTTGAGTTTAAGATCATCCACCGTCACTTCCGGTTGTCACAGGAAGTGATCAAAGAAATCAAAATTTTCAACTTTTCTTTCTGGAATCTTTCTTAGTATTACCTTAATAGCTTTTTACTAGTAGTTTCGAAATATGTCAGTCCCATTGGAAACAAAAACGACGACTTCTGGTTATGAGAGAAAAACTGCATAAATTGAGTTTATTACTCTCCCATAAATATCTTTTATAAAAATATCCTTCTTACAGATAAATAGAGGAGAACGGAAGACCTTCTTTGTTGCTGTAGCAACAAGAGTTTCTAGTTATTATTATTATTATTATTCTTTTTTTTAGACAAAATTTTGTGCAGGCGATTTCTCGTAAACTATTCGGTGGATTTCAATGAAAATTTCAGGAATAATAGGTCACTATATGAATTTTATATAAAATTCCGTTTCCGCTACCAGTGCCAAGTTATGGGCAATTTCCTGATTTTAAAATGCAATTTTGTCTTCGAGTGTTCTCGAAAACGGCTCAAGATATTAACTGGAGACTTGTTAGAGATGATAGAACAGGAGTTATAGATGTGCAATTTTGCCTTCGTTTGCGTCGTCAGTACTTCCGGTCGCTACAGGAACTGAATTCAAAATGTGCACTTTTTCAACTTTTTTTGTTTTTCAATATTTTTTTTTTGATATAATTTATGTGAATGGAGACTCTACTGGAAAGGCCTAATATATAATTTATTTTAGAATTGATCAATCCACACACTAGATAATCGCATTTAAAAATCTGAAGCGTGTCCAAGATGGCGGGGCGTCTCCGTAAACTCCGCCATTAAGCAATTCGCGTTCTAGAAGGCCAGCTGAGCGTTTAGATGAACGAAACTTCTACCAAAAACATTTATGAAATGTAAAGGATTCTTTGGATTGCCACGTCGCAATTACATTCCATTGAGTATAGTTTTAATATGAGGTTTCCTCAAATGTCTATTGAAATTGCTTTTGTTTGCATCTCAAATTATGACTACAAGTGGAAATACGACTTCAACCTTCGGTTTTGCACCAGGGAAAACGTATCCTAAACCATGGTTATAAGAAATAGCTTTCAAGAAACTTTCCTTCTTATATTCACTATGTTTCTGAATTTACTTGACTTCTGTTTATTTTTCCACGCAGGCTTGTGACATATTAAATGAATAGAAAAGACAAAAATAAGAAAAAACATTTTTTTAAAGATTGTTTATTAAAGGTTATATAAATATTCTTGTAACAAATGAAAGTTATTGAACATAAATAGTATCAGATTCCTAGACCGTCGGAGGGCTAGTGATTTTTTCGTTTCAGTGAGACATTCCAGTCCTTTCAAGAACGTGTAACTCATCTCTACTTTGGGGGTAAACAGGATACAAAATTCGTGGAAAATCTTACCGAATTCACTGCTTTATAATTAGTGTCACTTATACGTATACGATATTATATTTGTACAATGTGATAAACATGCTTTCTAACGCTCGAAATTCCGGTTATAAGAACATGCATTTTTAATTTTCATTGAAGTTATCACATCCATTCGATAGATCAAACATTTCAAAGGGATAGCGTTAAGAATTACTTGTGACGTTTGGCACGAAATAATGTATCGTGACCCGACTTAAGTAGTAGACAAATGGCGACAATAGTGCAGAAATATATAACATTGGCATGCCTGTATATGGAGTTGCATGGAATAAAAAGTTGAATGCATATCGAAAAAAGGAAAGAAAACAGTATCATCTGTTCATCACTAATAGAATATCTATACTAAAAGTTACTGTTAAAACTCAAGTAACAAATTCCGATTTAATCATCTTGAGCAAAGTTTGGCAAGGTAGCTCTCATTTTATAATTCCAAACTGAATTTTTAAAAAAAATGTAAGTATGTTGGAATCAAAAAAGCAATCTCGCGATATTCGAATGTTAAATTTGAAGCGGGTTCCCAAAGTTGTAATGGGTACCGCAATAGATTTTCACGCTGGCGACCCGGGTTCGACCTCCTGTGTGTCCGATTTTTAAAATCACTTTTCAGTTTGATTTTACGCTTTTTTTCTGAATCGGACGGAAGACCTCTCGTTGCTTGCAACGAGTTTCTTTTCTAGTTATTATTACTTTTTCTCAGAGGATTTGAACCATGTCTTCACAACTGCATAAAAACAAAAGTAACGAGAATTTGAAGACTTTACGGTTTGTATCCAAATAACTCTTTGAGGAGCAAACAGATTTATCTATTGCTGAAATGTGGATTAATCTGTCCTACTGATTTTATTGCCATGCTTTTCTTCCCTGCTCTATATAAGCCAGGGTTTCCTCTATATTCTAGAATGCAAATATAGTAATAAATATCGATTATTCAGTGAATATGGCACTATCAATAGCAATAGCACTGATGCCATATTTCCATGATGCGCTAGCGGACATCATGGAATTTGCCATTGTAGCTAATGCCATTAATTCATTACGCAATGGTAAATGAATAGCGTTGTTTATTCCTTAATTGATTCCTATTTAGCAGTGTAAAGAACAACAGAGCTAAACTTTGTCAAAGTGTAACCTATCTAAATGAATGACAATTATCGAAGTTTCGAAATTGTTCAGATCAAATGAGAATAGGACAAAGCTAAGAAAAGACAGTTGATACTTATAACTAGTGATGTCAAATAGGTCACTTTTTGATAATCCGTTACTAGGACGGACGTTTTCCTGATCGAATACTTGGCTACTCGGTAAAATTGTATATACATGTACAAGTCTTTTAATTTTCTTAAACTCATTTATGCTGCGTTATACACCAGTGTTGCTTCTATTGCGTTTTATTGCATGCTTAAAAACATCAAGTCCAATGAAATGGTATATATCTTTCTTAATTTTTTTTATTTATAAAAAAAATACATACACGAAAGCCAATTTGATACACCAATTTACACTTTTTGTTTGGGAAGACTGTTTAATTAACCTGCAATGCACCTTATATTTGATGACCCCACTAACGAAACAGAAGGAACGGGCGTTGTTTGAAACGCTTATCGTATATTATTATTGTATCCAACATAGACGAATAAATTTTGAGGAAATTTACATATATTACACGAACGGGTCGCCGTATTGCTATGTTGTGACGCGCAATGACCTAGAAGTTGTTTGGTCAAAGTAACTTTACCTCACTCCAATATTTGAATGTTTACATTCATGTTTAGCAGTCCAGTTCAGGAGATATCTGTATACAGAGAAAGAACAATGATTGCTTCTGTGGATAATCTAACTATTTTATAAGTTCTTACAATATTTGAAGTTAAAAGCGGTGGTATCGCCTGTTTTAGTTTACATAACTCCATAGAATTTCGGGTTAAAAGGGTAAGTGCGGTCTAAGGGTAATTACAGTATTCAAAACCTTATTCAGAACAAAAGAAGATTTAATGTTCATCTCGAGATTGAAAATATCCATATTATTTATCATTTTCATCGTTATTTACTTAGAAATATTCCAAAACAAGTTGCACCATGACAGGAAAATCACCTCGCTCTGTGATTCGGTCGCGCTATGACCTCTGACCCGCAAATAACATTCACACAGAATTGAGCATATTTTCTCTTCAATAGGTCTATATAAGACAGATATTTGCAAATGTTAATATATGCAATTGAAGGTCAAAAAACAATGTTTAAAGTCAGCTATGCGGAGTAAATTTAGCGTATACGTCTAAAATATAAGTAATAATATATAGATAAAAAAAAATAAATATAAGTAATAAATAACAATGTTGAAACTTTTAGTTTGTACGTGATCAAATCTACTGAGAAGCCCTTCGAGCTTTACAGGATTTGATCACGTGACCAACTAAAAGTTCATTTCTAAGAGAACTTTTTAACATTGTTGTTTATTTCTTAACTATTACCAAAATATTTCTTTACATTTTTAAGTCGGTAGCGGCATACCTATGCATGTCAAATTTCGGTATCACTTATTAAATAATTTAAAAATGATTTAAGGATAACAAAATATACTTAAGTTCTCAAATTTACTTTTATTACCATGGCAATTCTTCAAACTTAATCATATTGTAAAGGGATATTTAGTAAATCTCGAATTGATTTTCAGGAATTGCAAATAAAAACACCCAATATGCATTTTTTTGAATCAGATTTGATAACCAAACACATTTTAAAATTAAAAATCATAAGTATCCAGGCTTTTGAAGAAATTGCATATACATTTTCATATCATGTAAATAAGCATTGGTATCTATTGTTAGAAAGAAGAATTTCTTTTTCATTAAGAGTCAAAATCAGCAAGCATCGAGCATTTAGTTAAAAAATGTGGAAAGTGGCATAGAAACAGATTTGGTTAAAACTCGTATATAAATTTTCAGAACAAAGGGTATGACAGAAAAAGGCAAGCCAAAAATAATTTTTTGCATTGTTGCTATGGAAACCACGCGCCTTTCAAATAGCGTGTTTTGTACTTTATCATGACACTTGAATTTATGGTTAAACAAATACTTTTTTATTACTAGTCATGTAAAAAAGCTTTTTAAATTATTATTTTATTTATATGAATATACTCTATTTTAACAACTGTTGATTATTAAAATTCTCTTCACCTTTTGATGAATAAAACTAGTTTTTGGAGGTTTATTTTGCTTTAAAAAACAGCAAATTTGAAGTACTGTATAAGAAATCTACAACCACATTAAAGCTTATCAACATAAAATATTAATTAAACAGTATTTGTTCTAGAAGAATCAAGAAAAAAATCTGCAGGCAACTAAAGCATTTATATATGACAACTGATTTAAATCCATAATTTTCTATCAATTTTGCTTCAAATTACCTCCCTTTGTATAGCTCTCTAACATAGGAGGAATAAACGGTAGTTTGCTTACATTGTTTTCAATAACAATGTACAGAAGACTAGCAGAAAATTACAAACTTGGAGCAGTCTGAGCCTCAGTTTTGTCGTTTTCATGAGTCTTAATTACGGTGAGTGATTGAAATTTTTACAATTTACCATTACAACAGTTACTGAAGAATGTATAGCATAAATTATTCATGCAGTAAAATATGTAACACTTGGCAAGTGTTTTTGCACATTTCAATTTTATTCTGATTGATTATATATGTTAGCATTACTTATTTTATAACTAAAAACAAAAATTAAAGATTATGCATGGCCTGCGGAACCAGGAGGAGGGAGTATGCCCCCCCCCAATAATATTGCTGATATTAAACTAGTCGCTCACCAGCTATATAATGATTATAACTTGATTGATAGTCGAGTAAATAAAAATTCTGTATTTAATAGTAGATATCTTTATTTACCATTTAAGATAATGCATGCTTTTCACATGAAAAATTATGAATTTATGAAAACCAACACTATTATGAAATGTTTGTAAAATGGAATGACCTTTGATATGGCGTCCGTAAAAAAAAAAGAAAAAGGGGCAGGGGGTTAACTCTGTACTTAATATATTTTAGTTTAGGAAAGGGGATTACCTTGGAAGTATTGTGATACAGACAAGTGTATTATGTACTGTTGTGGACTAGTGGTAACTGAATTGTATATATACCACAGTAAAATAATTAATTAAAAAAAAACTTTTTTAGCTGATGTCATCCAGTGTTTACTTATAAAAGAAAATTCATATTCAGCTAACATTTTCTCCGGTACCACTGAACTAGGTTCAAATAATAAGCATCATGAGATTTAAAGCACGTAAATTTATGAAATGAATATCTATACTTCATTTTTTCGGGGGGGTATTGGAAAGATTTAGAGTTTTGACACAACCTAGAACCAATTGACCTTTATTGCAAGTTTTTAAATTTAAAGAATATTTAAAATCAATGCGGTCTCAACTTTGTGTTGTATGCTAAGTACTTCTGTTTTTAGAATGAAATTCGGCACTTTGAAGCCAAACTCGGAAAGAAGCAGAAACAGAATTGGATGAGCTGATATAGAATAGGACAGGAAAAACATGTAAATAATACATTTAGTAAAAACATTAACTTTTTAAAATGAAATGATAAACCATTGAGATTTCTTGGAATTTAATTGATTCCAATAAACATGCTTTGCATTCATCATCATTCCTCAAGCTCAAATAGAAATGGTTCTAAGTATATTGTATGACGGCAAAGCTGTATAATATTTAATATTACATTTTAATTTTATCACTTTTTTCAGATTATGAGAATACATTATTACAGTACAGACCATTGATGCTGGAAGTGAGTGGATAGTGTTACCGGAGACTCAGGGATCCAGAAAAAAAGATCCATAAATTGTACAGTGTATTCACGAAAGTGGATAAAATAAAATGTTCAATCTAAAAGTGACATTGTTTGTTTGTCTGTTAGCATTTTTTATTGATATAAATCTAATAACTACGTATCAATTTTTAGCATGCAGATTCATAATTATTAGATAGTCGAAGAATCTGAAACATATCTTTATATTCTGCATTTTGAAGTATCATGATTAAAACAAGGTCGATATTAAATGATCTATCAATTAATGTTAAAACTGACAAAATATTTTTGTGAGAAAAAAGAAAGAGGGCTAATTTATATATTGTACCTCATGTTGGACTGAAGTTGGTGTGAGTAAAATAAAAATGATGATGAACTAGTTTAAAGTCAGACGACTCGTTCCTCAAATTTATGTTTCGTATCTCTAGGTATTATATATATGTAAAATATTCATATTTGTCATTCTCTTCTGATTTCTACATTGTTTTCGAAATGTTTTTAGATATAGGAATGCCCATTAGGGTTATTAATGAATATCTTTTAGGGTCAGTACAAGTTTAGACATTCATATATATATATATAGCTCTTCAAGATTTTTGTTTTAGGCACCAGTATAGATACTGAGGTTTTAGCTGTCTTGCAATATTGTTTCTTAATAAGGACAGCAGGAGAATACATCATCGGTTCAATACCAAAGGTTTCAGTCATTCATTCTTGACAGACATGGTATCATTTTTGAAAGCGCATGGTCTGGGATAGGCATAAAAAACTGCAAGAAAAAAAGGGGGGGTAAACATCAGGTTATGTTGAGAAAAAAATTGGGTGAGGATGTCATCCCCCCTACCCAACCCAAACCTGATGCTACATGCCTGATTGATATGGTTTTACTTTAAAATTATGTGAGCTGTCATAGTGACTCTCTTTCATAAACTATAATTATTGTGAGCAAGCTCATAAAAAAAAATGCTATTGCATTAAATGTTTTTATTTCAAAAAAGGTCCAAATATTAATTAAAAACCTTTTTAAAATTTTGCTAGTGCAGATATACATACCAAAAATGACTATGACATACATGTATACTCAAGTCATACATGTAGGTAGTAAAACCGTTGTGTTGAGCACAAACTTCCAATAAATATGTAAATGTGCCAAACTCATATTGTACACTTTTACTGCAATGACCTTGAAAAAGCTATGTCCTTGAGTCAAGGTCAAACATGTCCAAATGAACTTCAAGGTCATGACAAACCTACAGCTCAAAAATAATATCCGAGATGAAACTTCAAGTCTTTTCATTTGAATGTTACAGAATGGGCAAAGATTGCACTATTCTTCTACCAATGACCTTGAACTTGTTCAAATGACCTTGGGTAAAGTTTTTGACACATCTCTAGATCACAAGCAATCTTAATATCAAGTATGAACTTTCAGTGGAACTTCATTAAAATGTTATGGACAAGGCAAAATTTTACATACATATGGATTGGTGAACAAGGTGATTCCTACCCCCCCCCCCCCCTCTTTTCCAAGTTTCGTTTATGAGGAATGTAAAATTCCTTTTGAAATTAAATATGCTTTTATTTATAAACAATAGTAAAATTATGAGTATGCTTTGATCAGAACAAATATGACCAATATAATGGACACTGTACATGTATTCAAATTACCCCCGTCCCATCAAAAAAGCTTTTAATGCCAGATTGTCACACAGTTTAACCATTTGTAACTTTTTTCTACTAAAGTTGCCTGCAAATTTTATTGTATAGATATTACATATAGATAACCCCTAACAAGATCACATCATTCATTTTTCCAGCAGTGGTTGTAGATTTTGTGTATATAGTGATAAACATATGTAAATTTTTTCAAAATTAATAAGCATTGACGCCATGTTCTTTTCCCGTTGTCATGGCAACAATATGACTACAGAAATTTTGTTTTTCCTATTTTTGGAGAATAAAGTAATTCCATCTTTTAACAAAAAAAGTAACCAAAATACCTTATCTTATCACGTTCAGAAAACATATTCATAGAAAAATGTCTAAAAATCATTGATTTTCATGAGGATTTATGAACCCGTTGCTAAGGAAATTAATTTCCTTGGATACCAGTCCCTTCATACGTTCGAAAAAAATTTTAATTGTGTTTTAGCATTAGGTAGGACAAAATCTTTCATATACCAAAAGCTTTTGAAAAAATAAAATTTTGACTTTCCATTCAATGCTCGATGCTTGCTGATTTTGACTCTTAAATATGTAATTTTAAGATACTTTATTGGGGCAAAAATTTCGACTTCTCATAAGACTTCCCTGAAAACTTCAAAGAAACTTCAAGCACATTGAGAGGTGTGTAACTAAAATTGCTGCATGAAAAAAAAATAATTTTCAAGCATTTATTTGGAGACTTTTTGAATTCAATAAAAAATTAAAGAGATATCCTTCCTGCCTGAGGATCGGAGTACCTTAAACGATCATCAATGAAAACAAATCATTGAAGCCATACAAAATTAAGGACAGCAAAATGTGAGAAAAGCAGTTTTGGAAACAAATTTCTTTATACATACAGTCAGAGGTGATAGCGGGTTGTTTTACAGGTGTTGGGTACGGCACTCTAATTATCGTATGCACATTTAAGTTAATTTATTATAACTTTTTGATAAATATATGTTGTTTGGAATAAGGAAAAAAATATATACATCCGAGTAACCGAGAACTATTTTAAGTATTCGATACTCGGACGTTCGAACGAGTACCCGTTTTACCGGGTACTCGTTGTCATCCTTCCTAAAATGAAAAAAAAACTAGATGCTGTGATAAAACAGTAATACTAAGTTGCTTGCCTCTAAATGAACGCTCCTACAAATTGGGCTTTACCAAGGAAAAAGTCAATATAAATCAATAATTTACATAATACATGTATTCATCAAATTGAGCATAATATTCTCAGGTGACCATGTGACCCATGGGCCTAGATCTTATAGGCATTTCATATTCTTAATTCATTACCAGTCTGAAATTAAACAACAGAATTTAATAAATGATGTTAGTGAAGTTTGATAAAAGGGGATATAAATTTTTGGCCTATAATTGGAACTTTTTAAATCTATTTTCGCATATAGATCAAAAAGAAATAATATTATTCAAATGAGTGTAAAGCGTTTTTATGAATTTTTCAAAATGTGCAAACTTTGTTTTTATATTTAATTAGGCGGAATTCCTTAAAAGCTGCCATATACCTAATCAATTTAGTCAACCACTAAACTCTCTCACATCAACTCACACAAACACACCCTATTTGCGTGTTTTTGGAAGTGGGCCTAGATGGCAAAGTTAAGCATCTAATCTAAGCAAGTTGAATGCTTGAATTTTTTTATGCAAAGTAAAACATCTTTTGTAAATAATAATTTTAAATTTGTTCTTGTACTATACATGTATTTGAACACCTGTATCACATTGAGCTTGCGTCACGTACCCAACTTAAGTACTATTTTTACCATTATCATTTTTAGATTGCACTGCACGTGCAGTGTGGTGTACACATCTCTGCATGTATGTCAGTAGGAATTATTTCATTTTGACATTTTGAAGTTGACAGGACCTATGAGAGTCGGTAAGTACAAGTTTTGGTTTAGATTTGGGTAGTCTGAAATGCAAATGGTTAGATTAAAGTTTTAAAGGATCAAAGGTCATCCGATGCTAAAATAGACGAATTTCACATTCTGAAGAGTTATCCCCCGTTATGGACGTTACATTCAGTTACAATATCCAGATGTTTTTTTCTGGGTGGGGGGGGGGGATCTCACAATCCAATCCCTGTCCCTGTAAGCACAAATGATCATGTGACTCCTAAGAAGTAGGAAATTTTTTTCCATTTGACTATACATAATTTTTTTTCATGTGTTATTATGTTATGTAAATTTAATGGTATAAAGGTCATGAACCCCTGGAGGTAATCCCCACTCTCCTGGAAATTTTCACAATTTGACTACATTAAATAAAATAAAAGTGCATCAATGATAAGATTGCTTGACATTTTATTCATAAATTTGTGTCAACCTATCCTCCTAGAATTAGGAATAAAAAGAGATTCAAAGAGATGGACCACATTAAACTATTTGTATAAACATTTTATTAATGTAAAACAAGTAGTAGTTTGCATACATGAACAAACAGGGGTCTGGGAAGGGGTAAGGGGAAGGATCGAGTCAATATTTCTTTACGTCTTAATGGTTGAAAACTCCTAAAATGAATGTTGACCTCAAATCTGACTTGTCCTCATTATTTTTCAAGTGGTGGTGTCTCCATATGAGTGAAAAATTCCTGAGAGGGATGTTTAACAACAAACAAATGACATAAAAACACAATATTGATTTGTGTTAAGAGATATGCAGGGGATTTATTCCATCAAAAATCTTCTTGTCAAGAACAGCAAAGGCATTATTGTCCCCAGTTTTTGGGAAAGGGAGAGGACATTAAATCTCATTTTTGTCTGTCAGTCTGTCCATCTTATTGACAGTATGTGCATCTGTCATCTGTCTCCAAATATAACATTGGAGATAACTTTTGAATAATAAGAGATAGGGCTTTCATATTTCACATGTACATTACCAAAAATCTTTCTAAATATACTAAACTTTTTCAACCTCAATGAGACCTTAAACTTTAAGTTTTACCTACTTTCCAAAAAATAACATCTTTTCATGGATATGTTCAAAAGTGCTTTACAACAAACAAGATATAACCATACAATACAGTGATACCAGTCATAAAAGCTAACAAGACTATAGGAATTAATTAAGCACAGATACAACATAAAATAAGATTAAAGCTGCTTAATACAAGTTTCAGTGAGTTAGTAATAAAGAATTTATATTCCTTTAAAATAGAAAATTATAAGAACAAATAAAACTCAGAATACAAAGTTTGCGTGAACAACATAGTAGAAAGTTAAAACTTAAAAAAAAAATGAATTCACTGATGTGAAAATATCACATTATAACATCACTTTCCACTCAATATTTATCCAATGTCTTACGATTGTTAATAACGCCAGTCACTCAACATAGTAGGAGCGGAAAAGGTGTGTTTTAAGCTGTCTTTTGATTATGATTATGAGTGTATATTGTTTAACGTCCCTCTCGAGAATTT